GGGTGGGTGGCTCTGTGCCGTGCCAGGTGCAGGGTCTGCTGGCTGGGTGCTGGCAGGCTTGCACCTGGCACAGGCACCGTAGCCAGCCCATGCCCATTTAAGGGGTCCGGGGCCGGGAGGGGGGCAGTAGAGTTTCCCTGGTGTTGGCCAGAGTGGCCACCAGGGAAACCTGGGGAGGGCTAGCCTCCCACTAGTTTGAATTAAGGGGCTACACACCCCTTAATTCGAACTAGTAAGTTCAAACTAGGCTTAATCCTCGTAAAATGAGGTTTTCCTAGTTCGAACGAAGTGCTCCGTTAGTTTGAATTAAATTCGAACTAGCGGAGCGCTAGTGTAGCGCCTATGAGAGTTAGTTCGAACTAACGTCCGTTAATTCGAACTATCTTTGTAGTGTAGACAGACCCTAACTGCCTATTGCATCGGAGACCACAACTCCACATCCTCAGCCTGCCAATGTCCGCGCCCCCAAAGGCAGCTGCTGGAGGTGCCACGTGTTTCTGGTGCATCACAGGTGGGTCCGTGGCCCTTTCTCTCTACCAGGCTGCGCTCACGCTGTGGCGATCGGAGTACCCTGGCCCCACCATTGGAACTAAAAGCATTGGACTGATTGTTCCTGCTGCCTCCTGGCTGACACCCGCAAGCTGTCTCCTCTAAGCAGGAAGTGACGGTTGTCTAAGGTTCTCGGGCAAAGGCAGAGTTATTAAAACTCATCTGCACCAGCACTTGCCCGGCCGGCCACCTACAAAGAGCTCCGCTCTCTCCGTCCGCATTCCAAAGGGCACCTTCTCCAGACGGGAGCTGCTCGAGTTCCAGACGGTCACCATGCTCGGGCTTTTTCAAAGGGGGAGAAGCAGGCCCTCACTGGGAAGGCAGAGGGGTCAGCGCACGTGCTTCCGCTGCTTGCGGGTGTGGCAAAATAGCACAGGGAGTATAGGGTGTGACACACATCCCTGGAAACGTCCCGCTTCCCTCCGTAGCACAACACCTAGAAATCCCCCGCGCTCCATGAACGTGCTCTGAATGACCCGACCGGGGATCTTTAAACCCATAACAGGCCCTCACTGGGAAGGCAGAGGGGTCAGCGCACGTGCTTCCGCTGCTTGCGGGTGTGGCAAAATAGCACAGGGAGTATAGGGTGTGACACACATCCCTGGAAACGTCCCGCTTCCCTCCGTAGCACAACACCTAGAAATCCCCCGCGCTCCATGAACGTGCTCTGAATGACCCGACCGGGGATCTTTAAACCCATAACAGTTAGAAGGCCTGGGTGTTGGGCCTGGTGGGACTAGGGAGGGCAGGATGGTGGAGGGGTACTCTCTCCTCTCCCGGGAGCTGGCTGCCGCTGAGTGCTATAGGCTCTGCAGGATGAGCCTATGCTGCAGAGCCCGCTGGCAGCTGGGAGACAGCATGCGCCTGCAGGCCAGAGCGTTACTGTGGGGGTACGTCTAGACTACACGCTTCTTTCGAACGAGATTGGCTAGACAGCCACAACTTTTTCAAAAAAGCGATCCACTCTGTCGAAAGAGCACGCGGGCAGTCTGGATGCTCTTTCGAGAACGCCCTGTTTGCGGTCAAGAATACCTTTCTTTTGAAAGAAGGCGTCTTCCTCGTAAAATGAGGTTTACTGCTGTTGAAAAAACCGCCGCGTTCTTTCAATTTAATTTTGAAAGTACGCGGTGGCAGTCTAGATGCAGGTGAAGTTTTTTTTTTAAAAAGGCCACTTTTATCGGAAAAACCCTGTAGCCTATCAGAAGCTGATAGGCTGATGCTCATAGGCTAACTGGTTACATTCTTACATCCTACCCCTGACCTGCACGACAGATACACAACCCAGGCAAGTGTGGAGCGGGAGGCCGGTCTGTGTAGCCATTCAGTTGACCAGAGCTCTCCACTTCTTCTCACTACGGTGATTTGGCTAGAATGGGCAGGGTTTATCTTAGTCATCTTTGCTGGGCCTGGCTCCTGCATTAGGAAGACAGGACAAGGGCATCATGCTTATGTTGGCTTCCATCTCTTTGGTCATGAGGCCGGCCCTCCATGAACGTACCCAGTTCTCGTTGAACCTCGCTGCGCTTTTGACCTGTGTAACATCCCCAGGTGGTGCGCGCCACAGGTATACTGTGCGTTGTGTGAAGTACGTTTTGATGTTTGTTTGAAACTTGATCCCTTTAATGTCACGGTTCTTGGATTATTTCAGAGTCAGGTGTATACATTCCATGATTTTAGCCCTACTGGCTGTGTCTTCATACTGAGTTTCAACTCAGGAGGCGAGAAACCAGTGGTGCCTGCAGGCTCCTATGATGATCAATTCCAGGTGAAATACACATTTGGGGAAGAATTGGGATGCCAGGTACTAAGCTCCCACCTGCCTGGGGAGTGGAGGAAGTTTGTCTCTTGCCTTACTTTTAAGCAGTTTTTAGAGTAATTGTTATTGACCCTTTGAGTTTGCAAGTAACTAGCGCGTTTTATGAGCACTCCCCATGTTAATTTCTGAGAGCTGGGGTCTAGGCTTTGAAAATAGAGAATGTGTTTCTCTAGGGCTCTGGGGAAATGAGAGCCTGAGGGAAACTTGTTCCCATAGCAGCCACTCGCTCCCAGTTCTCCGCAGGTAAATCAAGGGGGTATCCAGTGCCCCCATAAGCGGGGCACGAGGGCCAGGCTGCCCAAAGCCAGCTCTGAGTCTGTGTGGGGGGGGGAAGAGTGTTGGCGCAATAGAAAGCCGTATGAGTTTGGAGAGTGTTCAAAACAGAGCTAGATGGTTTCACGGAGGCTAGGTCCCCTGGGGCTGTTAGCCAGGATGGGCAGGAATGGTGCCCTCCCCTCTGTTTGCCAGAAGCTGGGCAACGGGAGGGATCACGTGATGATCGCCTGTTTCAGTTCATTCCCCTGGGGCACCTGGCTTTAGCCACTGTCGGCAGGCAGGGTGCTGGGCTCGCTGGGCCCTTCTGCCCTCGTATGGCCGTTCTTGTGCATGTTTGTCATAAAATATCCGCTGCCTTCTCTTTGCCACCACTGGGGGAAGCCAGGACGCTGAATTTGTTGACACTTGCAAGTAATAAGCAGAAAGGAACAAGGAAATGCACGAGAGGGACAGAAGCAGGTGGCCTTCCGCTTCTGTGATCTAGGGGGACTCTGCCCCACAGCCCCACCTGCCCAGACGTCTCTCGGGAAATCTCTTTCATTTGTACTTCCATTTGCTCTGGAGAGTCTCTAGAGAATTCTTCCGGGATCCTGCTTCCGACGGTGCGAATTGCAAAACCAAACTCACCTTCCAGCTGTCTCCAGCTGGTTCCAGGTCCCATTTGTGACTGTGCTCGGGAGCTGCCTGTGTCCTCCCTGGCAATATCATACCTCTGTTTTGCCCTAGACAATCAGTTCAGAATGTCGATCCTGGAGCGCCTGGAGCAGATGGAAAGGAGAATGGCCGAGATGACGGGCTCCCAGCAGCACAAACAAGGAATTGGAGGCGGGGGCAATGGCAGCGGGAACGGAGGAACCCAGACGCAAGTATGAGCCCTCCGTCATTGACTCCCTGTTGTTTCTGGAATGGGCTTGGGGCCGATATCTTTTATGTACATTCATCTCAAGAACCTTTTAATTGCAGTCTCCTCTCAAAATCTCCATGTTTTCCAGTCCTATCAAGTGGTTCTCACCACTTTTATGACTTGATTGTGAATGCATGTGTGTGGGCCATGGAAGCCTGATCTAGTGACAGACCCAAAGTCTGTAGCCTCCCTTTCGCGATGGGCACATAGCGAAGAACAGACACCCTCCTGTTGGTTGGCGCACTAGATAGAAGAGGAGAGTTTGGAAGTGTGAGGCTTCAGGCAGTGACGCTCAGGAAGGCTCCTAAGTACCTCACAGCGGTTCATGATGCCGTATTCCCTCTCGCACGCTGGCTGAGTGCTAGCCTGGCAATTGAGCGCCCCGGCTCTTGGTGGGGAGCACGTAGAACGGCTGCTGCAGGCTGGAGGGAGTACCCAGGGCAGAGAGCTAGCCGTGTGCTTGGCATCTTCACTAGCCAGCACGTAAGTTCGCTCTGCCCCACCGGCCAGCCTGGCCCCCCCCTGCCGGGCAGGCCATTTCTTAGCCCCTCCTCCCCTGCCAGCCTGGCCCCTCCTCCCTGCAGGGCAGGCCATTTCTTAGCCCCTCCTCCCCGCCGAGCCGGCCATTTCAATGTGATGCTGCTGCCCCCTGCTGAGCAGAGGTGCCGTTTTCCACAAGTCAGGTCAGTGGCTAGCATGTGAGCCCTAGTGTCACGCATCCGGGCCAGGTTCTCCTGGGCAGCGTCCACTGGCTCCCTGCACAGCTTCCAGGAGCGGCGGGCTCTGCTCGGAGTCCCCGTCCGCTTCCCTCGTTTTAAACCTTTCGCCGCGCCCCCCATGCTCTTTTTCATTTGTTGTCCCACAAAATCAGTTGAGTCTTGGGCCCAGTGGGCCCCCGTAAACAACCAGCGCTCCAGGGGACTTAGAACGGGCTTGCTGAGCTCCGTGTCCGCTAAAGGCTGAACCAGGCTAAGTTTGAATGTTGATGAGAACAGATCTATCAGCTGTGGGAGGTGGTGTATCTGGGATCCACGATCCTGACTAGCTGATTGGCCCGTGGGGAGGCCATGCTTTGGGATCGTGGAATGACCGGGAAGCCGAGATGTTTAACTGAAATACTCTTTGTGGGGTTCACTATTTCTCATGAGACTTTTATTCTGGTTCCCCGTGTTTTGGTTCAAATGTGCGTTTCCCTATAGGTCATCTGTTGCTCTGAAGCAGCATTTCGGGTTAATTTTAGTCCCTTCCCAATAGCTGGCATAGGAGGGTGTTGATTTCAATCATTCTCATCTGAAAAATCTCTTAAGTAGGAAATTACGTCAATACTTGTTTTAAAGGGTCTGTAGCTAAATAGCTGCACAATGGAACACCAGGCCATCTAGAGGAACTCTCTTAGCCCCTTGAGTTCACTCTTGCGTGTCTAGAAGGGGCCTCTCTGTCTTTCAGAGCAGGCTGCCTTAAGGAGGGAAGCACATGGTGTGTGCTCGGGCTGCAGCAGAGCAGCAAAGCCAGACGGTTGTATTAAAGCTGGCCCTGCGCGCCCAGGTTGGCAGGTCAGAAGTGCTGCTGCAGTGCGTAGGCGCTTGGGCGCAAGTTCTAAAGCAAGCGTTGCCCTGATCGGGAGAGTCTAGGCTTGGAGCAGGCGGTTCCCTCTGGGTCCCAGCTCGTTAACGTTTTAGACTGGACACAGTTTAAATGTCCTTGGCAGTCAGAAGCACCCATAGGTCCCGAGGTCCAAAGCAGTTTACACAGACAAGTCCTGGTCTACAAACCGTCAGTGGCGATTAGGACACCCCCGGGAATGCAGCCACCTTGGGGCTGCTCTTCAGTGGCACAAACCACCCGCCTGGTTCGGCGAGGGAGGGAAGGCTGTGAGCTCGCAGCACGTGCAGCTGTTGGGGAACTTAATGCAACCAAAGACGTTACCAGAGGGGCATTCGACCGTTGCTCGAGAGCAGCGATGGGCAGCCATGGTTAGTAATTGGGTCACAGCATCCCATGCATCCCCCGCTTGTCCCCCTTCCCCAAAGCCCTCTCATGCGTGGAGCCCTGCACTTCCCTGCTCCTCCCGGCACTTTGAGTGCTTCCAGTCTGCTGGTTTCCCCTCCCCCTCCCAGAGCTGGAAGGCTGCTGGAGACAGGAAGGTTAGCCAGTGCGTACAGGGGCACTGGAGTCTCTGAGCCGTACCTGAGGGTGGGGAAGGAGCTGGGACAGATGCAGTCAGTGAGCGTCTAGGGCGGGGCAGCTCCACCTCAGTGTCTGGCTGGAGTGGGCTGAGCCAGTCAGCTGCTGTCTGGAGGCACATTCCTGCCGGGAAAGGGGCTGGCTGGTGCTACCTGCATAGCTAAGGGCCTGACGATCGCTGAGAAAGTCAAAGACGTCGGCTGGCTTGGGAGCTCCCAGTGAGCAGCGATCACGGTGCCTGGGGCAGCAGTGAAGAAGCAACTCGCAACCTTGAACTGAACCTGCAGGAGCTGGGCTCTCGCTGCTCAGCCCGCGCCCAGAGGGCGCTGCTACAGGGTTGCTGTGGGCAGGAGCGCGCAGCGTCCTCCAGCAAGGGCCTTTTTTGGGATTTCATTCTTAGGGGCAGGGTAAGTGACTGAAGTGCCCTTTACACGGTGCCTGGGGCAGCAGTGAAGAAGCAACTCGCAACCTTGAACTGAACCTGCAGGAGCTGGGCTCTCGCTGCTCAGCCCGCGCCCAGAGGGCGCTGCTACAGGGTTGCTGTGGGCAGGAGCGCGCAGCGTCCTCCAGCAAGGGCCTTTTTTGGGATTTCATTCTTAGGGGCAGGGTAAGTGACTGAAGTGCCCTTTACCCACAGGCATGCCAGAACACCGGCACTTCTGCTCCCCCAGAATCTTTCTGCACAGCTCTTGACAGCCGTGGCTCATGGCTCTTGAGCTCAAGAGCTGCTGCTCTTTCCAAGCCTGGTTCTGGGAGGCTCTGGCGGGCACGGAGTGCTCAGTATCTCCTGGGCTCAGGTAGTCCCTGAGAAGTACCCTGGGTGCCAGTTGCAATGGCCTCCCTAACGTGGGCGCTTCCCCACGGAGTTGCCGGTAAGTGGAGTTGAGTGCAGAGAAACCAGGGAGCCTGCCCGCTTTTGTCTTGTTCCTCATGTCGCCGTCACGCCCTGCTAGCTCCCCCGTGGCTAACCCTTCTAAAAGCAGTGAGTGCCAGGGCCGAAGGCGCTGCCCGTCCTCCCCGCCCTCCCCGCCAGTGTCTGAGCCGTGCGTGTTGCTTACAGTGTGTGTCGGGGACCGCGGCGCTGGGCAGCTGCTTCGAGAGCCGCGTGGTGGTGGTGTGCGAGAAGATGATGAGTCGCGCCTGTTGGACAAAGTCCAAACACCTGATCCACTCGAAGACTTTCCGAGGAATGACCTTGCTGCACCTTGCTGCTGCCCAGGGCTATGCAACGCTGATCCAGACCCTCATCAAATGGCGGTAAGACCCAGGGCTTCAGACTCTTGACTCCTCATTGTCAGAGCTGTGGGAAGCAGGTAGAAGCTCTGGTTAGCTTTGAGTTCCTGGCTGTCTCTTGCACTTTGCAGAGGATGCTGCTGCTTGCAACCTGCCCCAGGCCCTCTTCGTGTGGGTGGATCCAACCTCTGGATCCCATAGGCTTCTAAGACCCCTGGGTGTGGGGAGTTGAATGGTCGTTGTTCCTGGTACCGGGGCTCTCAGGATCCTGCCTTCCAACCAGAACCAGTACTCCAGCCCTTCAAGCCACACAATTGTCTTGATCCATTCTCTGAGACCTACCTTGCTGTGGATGCTCTGAGCCTCTTGATTTATCCATTCGGGGAGAACTCAACAGGCAAGTGAGGATCACAGTCTTAGGAAAGGGGTTTTCAATGAGAGAAACTTGACTCAGAAAGCATTGGGAAGTTTACAGAGTTCTCTCTTTTCTAGTTCTCCAGCCCTTTCTTCTGCTGTGTGGTGATCAATGACTCCCCTCACGTTCTCCCTTCAATGTACCTCTACCCCTGTGGTCACATGTCCAGGTTTAGAGAATCCCGCCTTTGAGAGACCACCAGTTTATGACCCTGTGTAGCTCTGTGTCCGTTTCATCGACATTGTTTAACTAGGCATCAAGCCCCTGCTACAATATGGATGCTCCAATCCCCAATTACAACGAAGTGGGCCCCCGGAACAAAATGGCATTCACAAAACAAGATGGAGTTCACCCTTCCATGGACAAATCCCCATCTGCCACTCTGAGCTTAGGGGATAAAACCATCCCCTTGTGGTTTTCCAGGGCCGTGCCTGGGTTGGCGTGTATGGCCTGGCCTGCGCTAGCACAGCGCTCCCCTGGGAAGTGGAAGATCTGGGTTCTCACGACGTTAGTGGCATATGTCTGATGTCTTCGTTGCTAGCCTGTCTCCGTCTCCATTTCATAAGCCGAAGATGATCGAAGCCTGATGTACTGGGGATCCCAATCAGACCTCCGCTCGTTCCCTTTCCCCTGTGTACTGTTAGGTGTTTCACTTAATTTCGCCTCCGTTCTTTGCAGGCATCCGGCAGGGGTGTGCATGCTGCGCAGAGGAGCAGCCTAGCGTTTGTCCCCAGAGAGGACAGGGCGAATGGGCCCCATCTGCGAGGCAGATGGAGTTCTTTTGTCTAGCTCCCTCCTGGCCCTCGGCACAGCAGTATCTGAACGCTGCAGAAACAGTCAGGGAGTTACAGGTCGCACATCTGGGAAACGAGAGCATTATGCCCATTTTTCCCAGGTGGAGAGTAGAGGCTTGAGGTGGATCAAGTGAGTTGTCTTGGGTCACCCAGGGGATTTAATTGAGCTTGGAATACAGCCCGTGTCTTCGTCCCAGTCCAGTACCCTGCCCATCAGACCCTCCTCCTCCCTAACCCAGCTGTCCTTTCTCATGAGCGGGTGAGAAGTGGCACAAAGCCCAGGCCACCAGCTGCTGCAAGAGCCTCCAGTGCTTCCTTCGGTGGCCGAGCCTTGGGGTGTAGGGCATGGCTTTGTGTAAGGATCTTCACTGAGCTACAGAGCCTCACGCCTGCTCTCTTTCCTGGGCAGCACCAAGCACGCCGACAGCATTGATTTGGAGCTAGAAGTTGACCCTTTGAACGTGGATCACTTCTCCTGTACTCCACTGGTAAGTAGCAGAACATTCAGTCTGGGCCAGCCTCAGTCTGCAGGGATGGTAAAGCGACCCCCGGCGGGCGTGGAGGGTGAGTTCCGTCTCTGCTGCCGTTCCCCGTCCTCCTGACCTTTGCAGTCAGACGGAGAGGCGGTCCCTTGCCTGCTGCTGAGCTGTATCAATAGCAGCCTCGTTTCAGCAGCTCTTAGAGTTTTGCTCTGAGAAACCAAAATAGTTGTCCCAATGTTTGGGGGAGTGTGGGTGGGTTGTCTGGTTTTTGGGCCCCTTGTTTTGCCAAGAATCTCTCCTGTAGAGCCTCAAGGGGGGAAACCCTTATGTTTTTCCTAGCTAGTGGGTCTGTTCCTGTTTCCTCTCTGTGGAGATCTCAGCTGCCCTGCTGTGTCAAAGCCAGGAAGGCGCAGTTACTTTTCTGGAGAACTAGAAAATCCAACCGGCATGGCCCCAAGACTAGGTTGAAATCCAAAGGAATTCCCAAGGCCAGGCAGTAACTTTCAGAGGAGCATGTCCCTCAGCGGAGTCGGAGTGAGACACCCGTAGGGCTGGCAAGGAGGGGGAGGCCATAGCTTGAATGGGATCAACTTCTGTTGCTTCTGCCTCACCTTTTGAATGAATGCAGAGCTCTTCTTCAGGTGATGGGTGTCAGCTCAAACTCAGCCCAGCTGTTCATGAGCCTGCCTTGCAGCTTGCTTCTGACTGACCCTTCTTCCTTGGCTTCCCCTTTGTGGGCAGAGATCCAAGCAAGCCTGGCCTGGCTGCTGTCTCCCCGTGTGGCCACTAGGCTGGTATCCAGTGAGCTGGTGTGAAATGTAGGGTCCCTACGTTTTGCCCTGGCCTGTCTTCAGTTTTGCAGCTCATCTGTCTGTAATTCTCTTGTGTGCAGTTGAGCTCGTTTGCCTCTGTTGCATCCTTAACATTGGTGCCCAGAGGAGAGTTTCACTTACTGCGCACCAAGAAAATGTCACCTTAATTGATTGTCGATGGACAGGCAAAAACTTGCTCCTAGGAAGTAGAGAATAGGGTTCGTCTGGCCTCCATCGTGACCTAGGGTTAGCCCCGCAAGGGCAGATGTGACACTACGAAGCTGGCCCTTGGGGTGCGGGTCTTTGCCAGTTGTCAGTGATCTGAGAGGAATCCACTGCCCGTGCCAGAGAGGGAAGAGCCTACAGAGGAGTCCCGAGTTAGCCAATTCTCCTTTTTCTCTTCCAGATGTGGGCGTGTGCACTGGGCCACATGGACGCAGCCATTGTACTGTATAAGTGGGACCGCCGAGCCATCTCTATTCCCGATTCTCTTGGGAGACTGCCACTAGCTATTGCCCGGTCTCGAGGTCACGTGAAGTTGGCAGAGTGTCTGGAGCAGCTACAGCGAGATGAGCAAGTTCAGCTTGGGCAAAATCCCAGAATCCACTGCCCTTCCAGTGGGGAGTCCAACACAGAGAGCTGGGTTACCCAGTGGCACAGCGAAATCATTACTTCTCAAGAGCCTCAGAAGGGGGTCACTGTTCTGTCCGGTTCAAATACAGGTACAAACAACAAAGCCCAGACATGCGGCCCGCAGGTGCGATTCCCGGGGTGGCAAACAGACTCGTCTAGCTCAGGCAGGGCTAGCACACCGAACAGGCAGGCGCTGCGGCCAACCCGCGCCAGCGCG